ATTTCTCACCACGTATTTTCATCTTTACTCTTTGATCCATTCCATGTTTCAGTCCCTGCCCTGTTTCCTGACTGAGGGGGCAATCACATGACCAGTTTCCAGCCCTTCAGTATAAACTTGTGAAGAGAATCCCTGCTAGAACATTAATGATTTATGATATGGGTTATCTGAGGGACAAACTTAGTCCCATTTGCAGAAATGCTTTAATTGATTGTAACTAAGCAAGTAAATTGATGACTTTTTTCCTACGATGTACTGCAGGATTTAAGTTCTGTTCCAACGCTGTGACAAACTGGAACCAACACTCATCATTAGCAAACCTGGATGAACAGTTAAAAATTATAGTGCAGGACGTTTATCAAGATTGGAAAAAAGAGGGGTCAAGCATCATCAGAAAGCAGTATTAGCTGATTCCCAGGTGGAGTTTGCAAAGTCTATGAATGGCATGAGGAAGGGACAATGAAGGAAAGAGAAGGATTCCTCAGTATTGAGATCCCTGGAAAATATGTAGAAGACAGTAAATACCTTGATTGCAACACAGGGAGACTATAGCAGGGACAGGGTCTCTGCTGGATGAACTATTTGAAGCTTAGAAGAAACAAAAGATAAAATGGCTGGTTTATTAAGTAAGCTGATGAGTTAGACCTGCAGGTAACTGATTCTGCAGGAGGTGGATCGGCTCCTGTTTATTGTCTCCCAAAGTAATTTGTTGGGTTTTCAAATAATGCTTTATTTCCCAACTCATAGGAACAGAACAAGGCCATCCAGATCCTTGAGTCTTCCCACCAGTAAATCCATTCATGATCCACACCTCAATCTACTTCAGAACTCCCAGCCGGCTGGTTTGGTTACATAACCAGATTATTTTTGGATTGTTGCTTCAAATTGAAATTGTTGGATAAATGGGCTGACGCAAGTGACTGTTCTCCTGCTGCAGAATGTCAGCACCCTTCGCCCTTTGTCAGAGTTGCCACTGAATGAATTAACATGCTCGCAAAGGATTCCTAATGCAGCATTTGAGATGCCATGGGTGAGGCCAATGCTGTGGATTTTAATTATTAGGTGGTTGACTGCCAGTGCATAACTGCATGTTCATGCCAGCAAAAGCCCCGTTCATTTGAAGGGCTGAGTCTCATTAACATATAAGTAGTAAAGTCCATATCTGAATGGTGGCATAATGCAATCTGGCATTGCAGTACAATATTGGGCAGATCATACACAATCCTGGAAAAGGATAGGTCAGTGTGGAGTTGGGGGGTGGTTGGGGAGATGATTGTGAACATGGAGAAAGAGGACCTGCAGTTCCAGTGGCCAATATGGTTCATTTTAGAGGTGTAGCCCTCCATCCTGTCTCAAAGCAATAATTCTAATGCTTTTTAGGCATCCTGCTCCACTGCCAGGTTTCGTTCATTAAATTGTCCACACTGGGCGCCTTGCCTGATCGGTAATTAAAGTGGCCACAGGGTCCTATGTGTGCCACAGGATCCTGTTTTACTCAGATTAATGAGGCATTCACAAAATGCAGGGCAGGCACCTTCGCTACCCACCAGATGGCCACAGGAAAAATGATGGCATAACATAGAATGAGATGGTAAATTCACCACCTGCATTTTAATTCAAATGTTATCTCTATGAGATAGAAATCATACCAAGTCTCTCTCTTTCTGTATCTTGTATGATTTTAACAAACCTTGTATGGTAATCCTTGTTTGGTGTGCAAGTATCGTTGGTCAGGCTGGCATTTGTTGCCCATCCCTACGTGCCCTTGAATGGACTAGTTCTCGAAGCCATTTTGGAGGGTAGTTAAAGGTTAATCGCATCACTGTGGGCCTGAGATCACATGTATGACAGACCAGGTAAAGATAGCAGATTTCCTTCCTTCAAGGATATTAAATATATTATTCAAGTAAAAGTGTCTGTTGGGAGGAGTTGCAAATATAACGTATATTCCATTCAACGTTCTCTTCTATATGGATTCCATTCACAGTTGAAGGCAGTGTGCATGAATACCATACTTGGAGTTAAGTATTGTCTGCATTGACTCTGCTCACAGGCTGGCACTGTGTGTATTGAGTAATACATATTAATATTAATGAAGTGGTACTTGTCTAGAGCTCTATCATTGTTTGTGGAGTATGAAATAATGAGGGAGTTAGCCCTTTTAAAAGACCAGTCCAAAGGTCATTAAATGACACAGTGCAACATGTTGCCTTTTGAAAGATTGTGAGCAAGGTCCTTTCTAATTAGACCTGAGGTGAACATAGGAGAGAGTGTATTGTGTGTAGCTGCAGATATGGAGTGGGTGCTCCTCTGTGATGTTACAAATGCCAAGCTCAGATGACCCAGTATTTTAAGGCATATGATGAATCTACAGAGGAAAGACAAATGTGACCCATTAGAAAAAATTGAGAGACATCTAGGACAAATCTTGGAATATCATGAGGATATAATCGATTCCAAAAATATTAATTGCTCCATTTCTTTTTGTGGGGGGTGGAAATGATTGTGTAAGGCCAGCAGAGCAGAATATACATTAAATTTACAGCACAATGAGACCATTCAGCCCAATGGGTCAATGATGTTTTATGTTCCATATGGGCCTCTCACCATCTCACATCTATCTCTCTATTTTCTCTTGTACTTATCCAGTTTGTTCTTCAATCTTCTTATCAGGGGATATGGGTTTAATGTAGGAAGGTGGAGTAGAGGTAAAGGGTAGCCATGATTTTACTGAATAACAGACCAAGCTACTGAATGACCTCCTCCTACTTCTATTTTATATCCTTAAATGCATACTTCCTATTCACTTTCATTAACTCCATATGACAGTGAGTGAAAAGTACTCACCATTGTCTGAGACAAGAAGTTTCTCTTCAATCCTTTCAGATTCATATATGATGATCATTTATTTTTTGGCCCCTAGTTTTGGATTTCCCAACAAGTGGAAACATCTCCACATCTATTCTCTCAAATTTCTTTATAACTGTAAAGTCTGCTTTTCAGGTCACCTGTGGAGAAGACTCTGAGGATAGGGGAATACTTATTTTTTTTTGTCCTCAGATTTAGTAAGTACTATATTTATGTAGAACATTCTGTCTGAAAATGGAATGAACAATCATGGAAACCATAATAGGCTAGATTGTACATAGTCTGTATTGGCTTTTCCTAAGATAGTAGGAACTGCAGATGCTGGACAATCTGAGATAACAAGGTGTAGAGCTGGATGAACACAGCAGGCCAAGCAGCATCAGAGGAGCAGGAAGGCTGATGTTTCGGGCCTAGACCCTTCAGGCTTTTCCTAATCTGTAATGTTGCTAAGGCATAAGGAGGACAGAGGAGCAAAGGGAGATTTCAGACAAACTCCTTTTATCTATGCAGACAGCGGTATTGGTGGAGGATGTGGTGCAGCTTACTTGCTGCCTATCAACTGTTCTGATTGGGTTGTGTTGGCCAGTATTTGAGAGATCAGGAAATAAAACTAGAATGAGTATTAAAGCAGTTTAATGAGCAGAAATGTTTAAGTGCTTCTTTATTCACAAACCCTGACATTTTGCAAGTCTTATCTTGTCTCTGGCTAAAGGTCAACTTTCACTGTTGGTGTGTTAGCAGCAGATTAAGCTGAAAAATTACAGAAACGACGTCCTTCCACTTCCTCACTTATAATGGTCAAGCTCTTTATCAGATTTGCTGACACACGCTCAGATACATACAGATACACACAGACACAGACGTACAGATACATATACAGAGATACATGCAACACACATAGATATACACATACAGATATATACACACATAAAGATACACACAGGCACACACATATAGATACATACACACACTAATATACGCACAAATACACAAAAACAAATGCACACAGATAAACATTTAAAGATACATAGACACACAGAGACTCACAAACACAGATACATAGATACACAAGCAGATACATACGCACAGATACGCATAGACACACATATGCAGATACTACACACATATATACACACAGATACACAAACACAGATACACAATACACAAACAGATACATTCATACAGACATACATATACAGATACAAATACACAGATAACACACACAAACACAGGATCCCTTCTAAGACTTTGAGAAAGGAATTTCCCTTGTGAGAAAAAAACATGTTTCTGAAAAAAAATGTTGCCACACAACTGGAAAGTTCAGACTTGTGTCTTGTAGCCAAATCTGCTGCCTCCATCAAGCCAAGTTGATTAGATAGAGCTTAGAGTTTATATAACCTTTCAAAACAAGCCAAAATAATCAAAGGAAATGCATTTTTAAATGAGCAATAGCCGTGTACAGCAATCAACTACTAGCCTGAATCTGTCAGAATAAAATAACTCAGTTATAGAGTCATAGAATGGTTATTGTACACACTAAGGCCATTCATCCCATCAAGTCTGTATTGGCTCTCTGTCAACCTACTCAGAATGTTCTACTGTTCCCTGTCTTTTCCTCACAGCCTGCAACGTTTTTCTCTGCTAATAATTATCCAATTCCTTTTTAAAAGCTACAATTGAATCTGCCTTAACTCAAAACTAAGGCAATGTATTCCAGATCCCAACCACTCATTACAAAAAAAGGCTTTTCCTTGTGTCACATTTGGTTCTTTTGCCAAATGTCTTAAATCAGAATCCTCTGGTTCTTGACCCATCTGCCAAAGGGAACAATGTCTGCCTGTTGATTCCATTCAGGCCCTACAAAATTTTGAGCACATTCTCTTCCCTAGAGAGAACAGCCCCAGCTTTACCAATCCATCAATGTAAAAAAGTCTCTCATCGCCAGAACCATCCTGTAAATCTTATCTACATCAAATCCTCTGTTTTCACACCCTTCCTAAACTGTGATGACCTGTTTCAATCTGTAGTGAGACAGCCATCATCTTATGAAATGGTAGGGCAGCCTGAAGTGCCAAAAAGCCTGATTCTGTTTCTATTTTTAAAAATAATACATGTTTACTTTCGGTTACCAGGTAATTTAAACTTTAAACAGAAGTGTTCCCTGCTTCTGTCTGGTCTATAGCCCATTCACTGTGTGGGGTATTGATGGGCAGAGTAAAATACCAATGGACAAGACTAGACATCAAATTCTGAGAGAGTAAGAACTGCTGATGCTGGAGTCAGATATAACACAGTGTGGAGCTGGAGGAGCACAGCAGGCCAGGCAGCGTCAGAGGAGCAGGAAAGTTGACGTTTCAAGTCGGGACCCTTCTTCAGTAAGTCATCGAAGTCTTATTTTTTTGGGCAGTTCGGTATGTTGGCATTTAGGTTCATCATGGAGAAGTGTTTGCTGGGATAAGACCACATGGATCCTTAGACACAAACATAGTCTACTGGAGTTAAATCTTCCAATGACTATAGACTATGAGAACTAGGATCTAAACAGTTGCTGAAATCACAGGAGGCAGGAGTATGATGACAAGATGGGTAAAGATACCACCTGAATTAGTACAGATTTGAAGAGACCATATTTTCATACATACTACATTAGCTGGGGGGACTGAAAGGGAAACTCAATAATGGTGCTGCAATTAGCATCAGTGCTCCTGCTATTAGTGGTAAGAAATCAACAGGATGCTTCTGCTATAGATTTGGTATATGGTGCATATTACAAGCCCAATGTGCCAGTGACGTTGAAGGGTGGACAGTGATCCAAGTGGCAGAGTTTGAATGCTTCTTCTTTAGGCTCAAAAATTAACATTGTTCTTTGGATGAGATGTCAGAGTGGTAGTTGGTGCCTGTGAAATCACAATATTAGTAGAACCCATCTGATCTCAAGTTTCCAGAACACCAGCACAGCATCTCTTCGTTACAGCACTCAAATGTTTTGTAAGTAGGTCTAGCTTTTTGGCCTTACCCACGTGTTGTCTCTTGATGCAGTCTCATTTTGTTCTGCTGTTTGATGTACATGATAGTACTCCTTTGTGTTCATTTTCTCTATTGCATTAAATATCTTGCATTCTGACCTCTCCAAGCTTCTGAGAGTGAACAGCTCTAGCTTATAAAATCATTCCACCCAGCTTATCCTTCTGATACCATTGATCAACCTCATAAATCGTTGCAATGCCTCTCCGAGCTATTATTTCAGCAACCAGAACCCCACACGCCATCTGAGTGCATGATCCCAAGAGTGCTATGTGGCTTCAACATGGTTCTTTGGGGCAGGTTTAATACAGCCCAGCATCCCATTGGTGTTATAGAAGAAAGAAACACAGTTAACATTTCAGATCAATGATCTCCCATCAGAATCTCTGATATTAAAATGCTAACTTTTTTTTTCTCTTTCCACAGTTGCTACCTGGTCAACTGAGTATTTCCAGCATTTTTTAAATTTTTATTTAAGATTTCCCACAGTATTTTGTGTTTGTATTAGTGACCCAATTTGTGTTGTTTTTTTTACTGTCTTGTGCTGATGAAGGCAGTAAGAGTCGAAGAGATTCCCGGTCAGCCCTGTGCTGGGAAGAACTTGGAGACTCTACCATCAATATCCATAGTTCCAGGCTACAACATGCCAGTGAAAGTATACATTGCCCAGCAACTTGGATTCTGTGCGGACTGGTGGATTAGTTGGCTGGGTGGCTGATGTGGATCAGATTGGTGTGGGTGGCATTGTATTCAATTGTTATTCCAGCTGGGGTGAATTTGGGACCTGGCTCCTTACCCTGCCCATGGTGGAGTCATGGTACGGAGTCAGATTGTCTTCTGGCAGAGAACTTACAAAGAAGGAAATAGGTGAATTTGATATGTAGCAGACACTATGTTTCTAAGGAAAGTATAGGGGCTGGTTTATTAAAAGGAAACATACCATGGGATAGAAATTCCAGGGCTCTGTGATATTTTGCATGGCATGGTTGATGCTATGTTGTATGTTTTGTAACTTGCTTGTTGACTGTTTAATAACTGAAGCTCTGACTTTGATTACCGTGGCCTTTTTGGAAAGTTTTATAAACTCCACACTCCTTTGCTGTATTTGGCTGATGAGAAATGTAGCTGTGACTGGTAGACAGCGAACGTTCACCCTGTGAGAGTTAAGGTCCTCTATCGATGCCAGTCCAGTTAAGTAAACATAAAGTTTCTCTGTGTGATGAAATTTAATTGCAGAGCTTTTAAACCTCCTGCCAATTCTAACAGGGCAGCCCAATCTGTAAAACCTATTATGTTATTTCCATGGGAATAATATTACATTATGCATTTGGCATTGGAGGTGGCATTTTATAACTGTCTGTCTAAATAAGGAAGTTTATCCATGGTTCACATATCTTTTGTAAAGCATTATTATTCAATTTCATGATTTATTCTTGTGTTTTGGGCAAATAGCCTGAAATAGCTTCCCACTGCAGTTTCTGGAAGGTGCAGCTTCCTTATTTATACCATTGCTGATAATGGAGCCTGCTGATAGGAGCTAATCAACTAGATTGGGTGAGTCCTGTACTATTCTCCCTTTAACATGGGTTATGATGGTGAACTAAGTAATGGGTCAGACCCATGGCGAAGCTCACTTACACTGTATGAGACCCATACTTATGTAAGACCCATAGTGATGCTCAATGCATATTATGTGTGACCCATGGCAATGCTCATTGTATGCTATGGGACACCCATGGCAATACTCACTGCCTGTTAATGTGAGACCCATGGCAATGCTCACTGTGTGTTGTGTGAGTCCTGTGGCAATGCTCACTGTGTGTTACGTGAGACCCATGGCAATGCTCAGTGCCTCTAATGTGAGACCTGTGGCAATGCTCACTGTGTGTTACGTGAGACCCATGGCAATGCTCAGTGCCTCTAATGTGAGACCTGTGGCAATGCTTATTGTGTGTTATGTGAGACCCATGGCAATGCTCACTGCGTGTTATGTGAGACCTATGCCAATGCTCATTGTGTGTTATGTGAGACCCATGGCAATGCTCAGTCAGTCACTGGGCACATCTGATGGTGATGCTGTCTCCTATGTTGAAGTTCAATGTGAGGCACCCTCACTCCCTACGATTGGCACCTTCCCACAGTGACAGGAAAGACTGGAGACGGACCCTGGCCACTGTAACCCTTGAAAAAGCAGATTGGCTGCAGCTTGCTATGCATACAACTACTTTTAATCAGAATAATTGAACCAGTTTCTAATGAGATAAAATAACATGGTTTAAAAAACAACTAGCTTGCTGCATGAATAACTGGAGGTTGCAGAAGTACATTAGCAATGGAATATAAACGTTTATTAAAAAATTACTATGTTTGCCATTATTATGAAATTTCCCAATACTACTTTCTGTTTTTTTTACATTTTTCTAGAATTGTGTAGAATTCTTTCAGTGCAGAATCTAGGATGGGGCTGACAAATCATCATTGCCGGCAAGACCAACATTTGTTGCCTTTCCCCATTGCCCCTGAACTAAATGATTTGCTTGGCCATTTCAGAGAACAGTCAAAATCAACTACATTTCTATGGGTTGGAGTCACATGTCACCCAGGCTGAATAAGGATGGCAGATTTCCTCTCTCTAGCCATGATGTTGGCCTATGGTCTCTCTTTTCCCACAAATAATACTTTGCTTTATGACATAGCAATGTTTCTGGTGGTTGTATTTCCTTGCCCTTCCATCCTTTCATGAAATGCCTAACTGCTGAACACGCATGAATCCACGAGATCTTCTATACTGGTTCCTCCTGTTGTCTCTTCCACATTTTGTCAGTGAACGCTCACTTATTTTCCTCAGTTCACGACTATCTTCTTTAATAGACTGAATTTTGCCATCAGCAGTGAAGCAACAGCACACACTACTGTTCTTGAAGAAAGCTGCCCAAAGGGTCTAGTTATCACTGTAGCATCGATTTCCTTTTTCCTGACAGCTGTTTAAATCTGGTGCCATGTCAGGCTTATCTTCAGCAGGTTTTAAGCAATCAGGATAAGCAACCAATCACATTGAAGCATTCAATGGCAAAGCAGAATGTCAAAAACTATTTTATCATTCACTTTTACTTCAAATATTTAACATAGTAAAATACAATAATTATGATTGGATTAAGAGAAATTATGAAATGTCAAAAACAAACTTTAAAAAGTATTATTCTACAGTATGTGGACTTATTGTATCAAAAAGGAGAAATTTGACATTTGATAAATATAAAATTAGCTTTTAAGGACCAGTAAAATGTATAGTAATAATTATAAGCTTAGTATGCTGTTACAAATGCTATTAGTCATGGTTTTTTTGAAGGATTTTTACATTGGGATTCTTTGCGATTTCCTGTTGATTGTAGTTTGGGGGATCTTCAACAGTGCACCTATGGAGATGGGTAGACTCGTGACAGCAATTTCTAGACTTCCAAATTATTTTTGGGCATATGCAGACTCACAAAACTGCTGCCAGTTTCAATGGAATAATAATTGCTAACGCTGTCTGTTTTAAATCATTGCTGCTGCAAAATTCTATCCAGTGTGCGACTGTGGTGAAATAAAGTTTCAGAAAAAAGATGTAGACTTTGTGGATATTTCAGAAGAAAATATTTTGGGTTCTGGTTATGGGACTGAGGATATCAGCATTATCTCTTTTGTTGAAGAGTGATTAACACAAGGTACGAGGTGCCAATTAACTGGTTATGTTGAACAGATTCAACTATGGGATCACTAGGGAGAAATGAACAGTGATTCATGATCTGTCATGTTCCACAGCCATACATTGTTCTTCCTTCTGCATGTTCAGCTGTTTATAATCTGCTGAGTGCAGAGCTTGACCAGCAAAAGACACAGCTGGTTAGTGTAAGTCTGCTACCAATTATGTTGTGTTTTGGTTTGTATTGTGGGTGGAGTGGGGTTTCAAAATTTATCCTATCAGCATCTGCAAGATTGAGCAGACGTTGAGAAATTGTGCTTGGATAATTAGAGACAAGATTATAGGAAATTCCTATAATCCATTCTATTCTCTGGAAACACTAACTCCAAAAGAAAAGTGCACAGACTGGATGGTGTAGCATTTTGGGAATTCACTGACCTACCAGCCAATTTGAAGGGAGTAGGAGGGTGTACTGAAAGATACAGGTGAGATTCAGTGCCTTAATTCAAACTAAGTGATGAGAATTGGATGGTGGACAGTTTTAAATGTCATCTGTTCACCAGATAAGTTCAGCATTAATACCAGTCAGAAAGTGGACTTTACATTCCTTATCATTGAAAGTTCACCTTTACTGGCTGAAGGCTAGCCTTTTCATGACCTGTTAGATTGTAACAATGAAATCCCATATTTTGTAATTAGTGTAACCTCACATACATGTGTTTCTCACATACTTTGGAGCTAACTTCTGATAGGGGCTGAATCATATTTTGGAGGATGGGTCTCATTATAAATCAACAATTAAATTTGGTTTGCAGATATGAAGAGGATAAATTTTTATACTGAATTGCAACTTCTAAGTAATGCACTTTGTAAGAGAGAAAATAATGATAAATGCAATGTTATCCCAAATTTTAAGACTAGTAAATTCCTGAAACTTGCTGTGTCTTAAGCAAAGAACTTTCATTCTGTATCTTGTTTTTGAATCACACCCTTGAAGAGCCAATGTTTTCTTTCTTGGCCTGACAGGAGGCCAAAGTTTTGACCTATGACCTTCTCCCAGCTCTTTGTGCTTGGGGATTAACCCTATTGACCTGCCAATTAAACCTGATTCCATATCGCCCTGGGCCTAGATTTCAGACAACAATCTTGTCTGACTTCACATAAATGCAACCATTTCACAAATCACACATGAATGTTTACTGAGTGTTTTCAATGACACTGCTAGTTTAAGTTGAGTTGATTTAGTGCATAGGAAGGACCATTTAGGATCAAGTATTTGATTGTGTCTAATTTACATTCCCAGCATGGTGATGTTCAGGAGACTGTAATCCCTGGGAACAATTAATTTAAACACCCCTAAATATAAACCCTAAACATACAGCCCTAAATATAGACCCCTAAATGCTTGGGTTATATGGTAAAAGAAGGAAACCTCAAGACATGACTAATTTCAAACTGGAAAAATTATAGACAGATAATAACATCAATAATGATGATGATGATCAACATTTCTCAATCAGAGAAAAGTTTGGCTTGGATCAACTGAAAAGAGATGGAGACTGTAGGGATGAGCTGAGGTAGGCTGATGCTTTCTTGATTTATATCTTGTAAAGAGCTGGGTACCAAAATGAGAAAATGGTAGAACAGTGGACTAACAGCCTTAGGAGCTGATTTAATAAGTGTGTGCTACTATGACATGCAAATTAGAGCCTCTTATATGCTTTACTTTATGATAATGAAACCCATTGAACGTTGAAGAACTAACAGACAAAAAGCTGCCTTGGTCAAAATTGGAAAGTCCTCCATTACCATGTCTCCCTTCTGTTTGTAAAAGTTCAGTAAGGATCATCAGAAATGATAATTTTTAAATTAGTTTTTGACGACTTTGAAAACTAACAAGAAATTATCCAATAATGCTTAAATCAAAGTCATTTTCTTAATGGATTAGAGTGAGAAAGGGAGAGATTACTACTTTATTACAGTGTAATTTAAATGCTAATGCTGCTGCGGAATATATTTGGATGGTGGGAGGCTGATGTGTTTCACGCTGTCTCTTTTTAAATCCCAAAGGACAGAATAGATCTGCCAAATCTATAGGTCCAGAAGATATTTAGCCCATTCCATTTGTCTTTGCATGACTGAGTTTGCTTGTTTGTTGCCATGACCTTGAATGGTCTGTTTGATATTCTATGTTTGAAAGTCATGAAAGTAAAAATAGTCCAACTCAATCAGGCATCTGTAATGTGCTGATGTGAGGCATTTATGGGGATATCAACAACATGTATATTCTTTGTAGAGAGTTTGTTGCAAATCAGGGAATGCACTAAATCAGGCTAAGTCCATGTCTTTTAGTCCAGCACAAAGAAGCTTGTGGTTTCGGGAAATGCATCTCATCATACTAGATGCATTGGCCTTTTCGATTCCGAAATTACTTTAGGTTTGTGCCCAGAAATTCATTCTTGCTGAACATACAATCTCCTTGTTCATGGCTGAGCCTCTGACACTGAAAACTAAATGGAAGAAATTGAGGCCAATTCATATACTTAGAGAGCAGAAGTGGGAAGAGAGAGAGAGAGAGAAGGGCATAACCCATGGATGAAATTGTTGGGGAGACTTTGTATGTCTCATTATTCAGTCCCCTCCTTTATGTGGGTGCATCTGTGCATTGAGATATTCTTGTTGTTAACTCATTGTCAATTGGCATCTTTTCTCTCTAGGACTATGGTGGAGCCATTGATGATGATGTGTTGGTCCATGTTGGGCATTCTGCTTCCAACTGTAGTTTTTGCAGCACCTCCTCCCATCAATAAACTGGCACTGTTTCCTGATAAAAGTGCCTGGTGTGAAGCAAAGAACATCACTCAGATAGTTGGCCACACTGGATGTGAGTCAAAGTCCATCCAAAACAGGTAAGTACAAAAAGAAGTGTGAACGTACCTTTCCAACCTGTTTTTTTTTTCAAATGAAGTGGAAATATCAGAATGCAGAGGACTTTCAAGCACAATTGAAGTCATCTGGATAATCCTCAATGTCTACAAAACATTTTCTTCCATGATGTCTTGTTACCCCTCTTTCAATCTTTTCAATCCATCTAGTTCTAGAACTTTTTTTTATTGTGCACATCACTGGCAATTCTGGAATTTATTGCTAATTCCTAATTGCTTGAGAAGTTGGTGGTGAGCTATCTTCTTGAGCTTCTGCAGTCTGTGTGGTGTAGGTCTATCTACCGTGCTATTAGGAAGGAAATTCCAGGATTTTGACATAACAACAGTGAAGGTCATATAGTTCCAAATTAGGATGGTATCTGCCTTGGAGGACAACTTGCAGCTGGCAATGTTCCAATGCATCTGCTGTGGTTGTGCTTCTAGATGGTATAGGTCATGGGTTTGGAATGTGCTATTAAAGAAACCTTGAGGTGTTGCTGCAGTGCATTTTGGAAATGGTACACTGTGGTGCCACTGCATGCCATTGGTGGAGGGAGTGAATATTTAAGACAGTAAGTGGGATGTCAGTCCAGCAGACTGTTTTGTTGAGCTTCCTAAGTATTTTTGGAGCTGTACTAGTCCAACCCCATGTAGAGTTCTTACTCGTAATCTTGACTTATGCATTTTAGATGGGGGACAGGCTTCTGAAATCGAGAACTTAGTTACACATTACAGGATTCCCAGCCTCTGACGTGCTCTTGTAGCAACAGTATTTATTCATATGGTCCAATTAAGTGTCTGGTCAATGGTAACCCTCAGGATGTTGATTCTGGAGGATTCAGTGATAGCAGTGCCATTGAATATCAAGTAGAGATGGTCAATGCTTGGCACTTATGTAGTACAAGTGTTACCATTCACTTATCAGCCAAATCTGAATGTTGTCCTCGTCTACCTTTTCTGATGAAGGGTCTAGGCCCGAAATGTCAGCCTTCCTGCTCCTATGATGCTGCTTGGCCTGCTGTGTTCATCCAGCTCTACACCTTGTTATCTCTATGTAGGAATTAATGGGTCCTTTTCACATTGGTAGGCAGTAGCTAGTGGGGTGCCACGGAGATCAGTGCTGGGACCCCAGCTGTTCATAATACATATTAATGATTTGGATGAGGGAACAAACTGTAACATCTCAAAGTTTGCAGATGATACCAAGTTGGGTGGCAGGGTGAACTGTGATGAGGATGCAGAGATCCTTCAGCATGATCTGGACAGGTTGGGCGAGTGGGCAAATCAATGCCTTCTCTGTTGATAGATGTGGTACATCTGTCCTTCATCAGGCTAGGCACATAGTGAGAACTGGCTGCTTTTCTGTTCTTTTGGCTTATTCAATGCATGAATGAGTACTTCAATACCCAGTGATACAACAGTGAACTGACGTCTTCCCAGAACTATAACATGTAAGAACTATAATTAGAATTTTACGCCGAATTTAAGGGCCTCAGGTCTCATTTCAAGGCTTGTGACACTTATTTCTTTGTGAGATTCTGGTATTCGCTGGTCTGTATACTTTGTTTGAGCATCTGTTAGTGGCTGATTCACTCAGTAAATATTATAAATAACATCGTTGATTAGCTTGCCAATCTTGTGTGATTGGGTTCTAGTGGACTGAAACAAATAAAATATGAGCAACTTTATGTCACCTTAATTTCCAGATTTAATTGAATGATAATCTCTGACCATCAGATGATAGCATTGCTCTAGTTTTATTTCAGACAAGAAAGTAAAAATCTGCTTTATATGAACAATTTGAGTGATGTTATAATCTACCCTGTTTCATTCCCTCTCCCAGAGCATGCCTTGGCCAATGTTTCAGCTACAGTGTACCCAACACTTTTCCGCAGTCAACTGAATCCCTCGTTCACTGTGACTCCTGCATGCCGGCACAGTCTATGTGGGAAATTGTAAGTAACTGTTTGGCTCCCTGTCTGATTACATGCAGCCTCCTGGTCTAATTACATGCAATCCATCCTTCCTTTTCGTCCCTCCTCTTGATCACAAACTCATTTTAGTTAGACTTTCTGCATTGAATGCTTTCCCCTATGTCTCCCTATTCTGTTTATCACTTTGGTCCTTGCCCATCTTATATTATTCCCTGTTGTTCTTCCAAATACCCAATCCCAGGCCACTGACTCAGGACAGTATTGGATCAGCCATTTAAATATGCTGGCTGGGAATTCTCTGGTAACTCCTGACACACAAAAGTTTGCCCATCATCTACAAAAAACAAATCATGAGCTTAATAGAATACTCTCCACTCGAGTGCGGTTTCGAACAACACTCAAGATGCCCATCACCTCCCAGGACAAAGCAGTCCTCTTGATTTTCTTTATTTATTCATGGGATGTGAGCATCACTGGCTGGGCTAGCATTTATTCCCTGTCTCTATTTGTCCTAGAGAAGGTGGTAGTGGTAAGCTGCCTTCTGGAACTGCTGCAGTCCACCTGATATAGATTGGTCCGCAATACCGTTCGGGAGGGAATTACAAGATTTTAACTCAGCAACTTGATTGTCATCCCATCCCCTACTTTTAAACTTCTGCACTGTCCACCACCCCAATGAGTGCACTGTGTACCATCTACAGGCTGCACTGCAGTATCACATTAAAGTTCCTTTGACAGCATGTTCCAAACCCACGACCCCTACCAGCTAGAAACAGAAAAGTAACAGATAAACAGAGCAGTACCATTTGCATGTTTGTCTTCAAACTACACACTATCCTGACTTTGAACCATATTGCCAACCATTAATAGTTTTGCTGAGTCAAAATCCTGGAAGTCGTTTCCTAACAACACTACAGGTGTATGTGCAGCACATGAACTAGAGTGGTTCAAGAAGGCACCTCAAGAACGTACCTTCTCAAGCACTAATAGAGACGTGACACCCACATACCATGAACAAATATGTTTTAATCATACCAGACTCCCATTCTCCTTCCTACAGCTTCATTATTCTGAAATAAAGAATCATCACACTGTTCCCTACCGGAAATCAGTCTTTCCCAAGACTTAAAACTGCGGAAATCCTCCCACTCTCCTGCAGGTTTCCCAACCTCCAGCAATCTACAGCCTTATAAAAACCAAGGTTGAGAATACTGAGTCATTGCATGCTGAATCACTTCCTTTATTTGCCCTTTCTCCTCTCCTGCTGTTCAACATCGTTCCTAAATAGCAATTGATGAAGAAAATCCTGAAACACTGAAATGTTGAATTAAACATATTCATGGTTTGTGTTGCAGGTCATGTTGGAATGTCCTGGCAATGAGGAAATGCCCAGAGTGGACAAACTAGTGGAAAAGATTGTACACTGCAGCTGCCAGGCATGTGGAAAGGAACACCACCAAGATTCCCAAATTTTTAATGCAATTCTAAATGAGGAAGAAGCCTCTCCCATGGATACTGTTGGATCCCCTCAGATTGTTCACCATGACGAGCAAGTTGCTCTCAGAAGTGGCACTGAGGAACAGTAGAGCAATAGACTTTGGCACGAGAAGAAAAAAAATGAAGTTTGTGGTATAAAATTTTTGTTTGTTTTATTTGTTGAGCTTTAGAGAGAAAAATCAAAATATAACATTTTCTAAAAAAAAAATCCATGCAGACTTATTTAAGGGGAAAGTCTTTAAAATATGCCATTTGTTATAGAAATTAAGCAGGAATCTCAATCAAATACTAATATATAGCTCACCAAGATCCAGCAAAGTATAATTAGAATTGGTGATCTGTGTTGGATTCACAATGTCTGTAATTAACAAGTCTGTTTTTTGTACCGCAGAAATCCCTGTGTGTAGCCATTTCAAACTTATAACTGTTTGTATATAAAATTACAGTTTATAAATCTCAAACTTTTTTTCAAAATCCTCCTTTCATTTAATTTGTGGGTCATTAAATGCATTGCAAATGTAGGAGAGAAAAGAGACAACACAGGAAGACACAAACACATACACACACACAAAAGGAGGCAAAGTGGCACAAAACACAGAGAAAGAAAGAGACGCATACAAATGGAGAGGTAAAGAGACTGGCAGACACACCCACACATGCACAGACAGAAATTTAAGTACATCAAAAAGGCAGAAGTGGACAGAAAAGCAAAGAGACAATTTAAAACACTACACCCACTCATCATTTCAGAAGGAAATGCAAATCTTGTCAAGATAATATTATGCGTAATTAATGTGTATTTTTGATATGTAAAGAGCACTGAAAATGTGATTTGTGTTTGGAACACAATGAGACACTGAGCTTTTGGTTTGCTGGGCCAAGTTTATATATGGTGCGGGCAGACAGATTTGAAATATTCTGGCTTTCGTCCTGATTCTGTGGTGGCTTAGCTGATTACAGTTTGTGCTGATGTGGGGTACCCACGGCATCTGAACCAGGAAAAGGAGAAAAGGTTGATTAAGGTTTCCACTTCTGACCACTACTCAATGCCTCCTGCTGGAAAGTGCATGTAAGAATGGCAGATAAAGGTAGAATTGTTCTTAGTTGTGATGCTCACATGATCAGATAGCCTGCTGACATACACTGCTCAGTTCCTAGAAGGAATTCCTACCCTGATGAGATACAAGGTGACCAATACTCATGGAACTGCATCTGGCAAGAACCAAACTCTTCCAAACAAAAGATAAACCAAGACAAAAGTTGAAGAGGGAAGAAGGAAATGGGGAGATGTAACAAGGCAAGAGGGTAAATATTCTAATCTGGTTTTATAACATTATGTATTTTTTTTGTATCAATTCTGCAGTTAATCTAATTGATTTTTTATGGTGCCCTTGTGTAATTCTATAGAATTAAACTTGGAGATTATACAGGTCCGATTTCTCTCCCTTGCAGTTAAATGGAACTTGAGAATTTCTGAAGAAGGGTTCCGACCCAAAACGTCAACTTTCCTACTCTTCTGATGTTGCCCGGCCTGCTGAGTTCCTCCAGCTCCACACTGTGTTATTTCTGACTCCAGCATTAGCAGTTCTTACTATCTCTCTTGGGAATTGCCAACTCCTTTCCCCGATCTGGCTGAGTGCAATTTTGAATATACAGATTCACTGACATTGTGTGTCATTTTCACCTCTACTCTGAATAAGGGATCAGTGGTTAATAAAGCAAAATATTTGTAGAGTGTTCTCTGTAGATTTGTGGAGGCAGTTTAATTACAAGCTTCAGTTGTCACAAATTCCATTTTCTACATAACAAAAAGCGAGAAACTTCTTTGATAAAAATTTATCAAGCTGAGCAAAACAAATTTCAGAAAATGGAACCAAGGCCAGACAAAGTTGCATTCATCCAGGACCTATAAGAAAATCTTACATCTTTTCCACCTCAGAAATTCCCAGGAGTGTGTGTGTGTGTGGCGCACGCATACATGTATGGGGTGTCATTCTCCTCTGCTTTTGGCAGCAGGTTACCTGCGTTTATGAGCTCACTTGGCCATATTGATCAACACCATGCTGATGAGCCATGGCTGTTACAGTCAAGCCTGTCTGCCGTACCTCCCAGATGGACATGGCTGCCGGTTTATCTGCATTTCTGTCTAGATTAAAATCCAGCCTGCAGTGTCTCCTGAGATAATATAAAATTGGATTTAACCAATCTCAAACAGTGCAGTGCTAGGAGTGTTACATTGTAACTTGGTTATCAAAGAAATGGGTAACCAATTAGGACATCAGCATAGAATGAATGCACTATGGATGGTGAAATATGGTGTTAGACTCCACCATAACATCAATATCCTAGAGGTAACCATTACCCGCAAACTGAACTGGACCAGCTATTTAAATACTGTGTCTACAAGAGCTAGTCAGAGGCTAGGATTCTGTGGTGAGTAACCCATCTCCTTCTTCCCAAAGCCTGTCTACCATCTACAAAGTATGAGTCAGGCATATGACAGAATACATCCTCTTACCTGGATGAATGCAGCTCCAACAACAATCAAGAAGCTTGACATCTTTCAGGTAAAGCAGCCCACTTAATTGGCATCAATCTACCACCTTCAATATTCACTATCTTCATCACTGATACACAGTGGCAGTAGTGTGTACCATCCACAAAGATGCACTGCAGTAACTCACCAAGGTGTATTAGACAGCACCTTCCAAATCCACAACCACTTCCTTCCAGAAGGACAGGGGTAGCAAATACCCCTGGATTTACCAACAGCTACAAGATGCCCTCTAAGCCACACACAATCCTGACTTGGATATATATTGCCGTTCCTTCACTGGCACTGAGTCAATAACCTGGAACTCCCTCCCAGACAACACTGTGAGTATGCCTCCAACTCAGCAATTCAAGAAGGCAGTTCACAACCACCTTTTCAAGGGCAATTAGGGATGGCAATAATAGTAGCCCAAGCAGCAAAGCCCACATCCTGTGAATTAATAAAATGTCTAGTCACCTAAATAATATGATAATGTTCCCTGCCAGTCTTGCATATAAAAAATAATAAGTTGATAAGGTGTTAGAAGACCAAACTATTTCAGGGGCAATGTTCGATTGAGAAACCTCCTGATTACACTTGTTCACAATGGCTATCATGGGAGGAACAGTTTCTCAGCATTCTTTGACAACTAATCTGTACAATACTCTGAGCATCTTCAAGTGTAATTAAACAAAACAAAAACAAGAGGATGACCATTCATGTACAGCCTATCAGTAACTGGCTATTTTCACAATTTCAAGTAGGTGGTGTCTTTATTCACACCCTACAAAACATCAACAGGTATATTATTTGATATTATTGCACTGGGTGCAACTGGAAAAATTGATGACAACTCCACAGAGCTTAGTGACTACAATGGTGCCACAACCTGTACCTTCTGAACTACGGCTGTGGACTAAACTATTTCATTGCTCCCCTAAGCTGCTCCCTGACCTCTGTAAGCTTGAGCTTATACAAAGTTTTGCAGCCTGTATCTTAACTTGCACCAAGTTTTGTTTGCCCTTCATTCCTTTCCTTGTCAACCTAATCAGCTCCCAGTCCATCAATGCCTTGAGAAGGGCAATGTTACCATGGTGGAATTAACCAGCAATTTTGTTGATCAGGTATAAAGTTAGGAACTCAGTTGAGGGCCAAATTGGATGCCAAAATTGTTAATAGTCTGCTTAAGACCAAGATAATGGCAAGACAGGCGATAAAATTGGTACCAAAGAAGCTGTTTGCTGTGGGAGCTGAAGTTAATGGCCACAGACTTTATAATGTTCATAGAATCATAGAGATATATAGCATGGAAACAGACTCTTCAGTCCAATTATATAGGATATCTGGTCAGCATGGACAAATCTAGTCCTATTTGCCAACATTTGGCCCATATCCCTCTAAAACCTTCCTATTGATATACTCATCCAGATGCCTTTTAAATGTTGCAATCATACCCATCTCCACCACTTCCTCTGGCAGCTCATCCCATATACGCACCATCCTCTGCATGAAAATGTTGCCCCATAGGTCCCTTTTATATCTTTCCCCTCTCACCTTAAACCTAAGCCCTCTACTTTTGGACTTCCCCACTCCAGGGAAAAGATCTTGCCTATTTACCCTATCCATGCCCAGTTTGAGAAAATGGCAGCTCATCTAATATTGGATATTAGACAATGAGTCAGACAACACTGAAGCTGTAGAGCGATTTGGTGAAAGTATTCCATCACTTTTCTGACTTGTGCCTTGCAGATAGCGGACAGGTTTTGAGAAATCATTGGCTGAGTTACTACAGAATTCCCAATCTCTAGATTCAGTGATGGTAATGCAATTGAACAGCAGGGGAAAAATGACTAGACTCTCATTGAAGATGCATAATGCCTGCCAATTGTGTGGCTCAAATATTTCTTGTCACTTATTAACTCGAAATCAGCACACAAAGTGTTGGAGAAACTCAGCAGGCCTGGCAGTATCTGTGGAGAGGGAAATAGCGTCAACATTCTAAGTCTAATATGATGCTTCAGAACTGCTGAAGCTTTCATATCCACACCTCCTTCTTCAATGACTGTCTCCAGCTCTGCCCTACCCTGCACAGACTCCAACTAAAGTTCTATCCTTCATGTTTCAAACACACCCATGATTACAGGTATCCCTGAGATATGCCATGCTCAATAAAAAAAAAAATCAATCCTCAGATAGCTGCTCCTGCACATCATGAGATCCACACTCATGGATGTGTCTCCACTATGTGTCTCCACATGTATAGCCTCAACCTTTCCATCAGCACCTCACACTAAATTTGTTCCAGTTCCCCGCTACATTGCATTTCTTATCTCACTCTTTCAACTGTTAAGGAGCACAAGTTCCATAAACTCATAGCCACTGACACCCCTCTGATCCTTCCTCCCCTCCTATTTTCTTGAAGTTCATCCTATCTTCCAATCCCCCTTCTTGTCTTGTATTCACTATACCCTATGATCTTCCCATTTGTAATGCTGAACTATCTGTGCTCAGCAAACAACTCAGTTTTATTGTTTTATATCCCTAGCTCAATAAATTTCTGCCACAACATGAAGTCTTCTTTCATTGCCATTAACCCCATGCACATTTATTTGGACAAGAGTCATTTGTCTGCCAAGCAGACCCTTTCACCCTTCTCCAATACTTCCTTTCAAATGGGACCCCTCTCTCTAACCTTTTACTTATACTTGATCTCTTCATCAAGATCTGCTGGTGTACCATTGGCTGACTTCATTTCTCTGCTCCTTCACCCACTTGAACTTGTCACCTTCTGAACCTGCTGCACTCTGTTCTCTCAGGTCCAACTCTGACTTTGTTGTCAAACCTGGTGGTGCTGATATCATCTAGCATGACAATTTCTTTCTGGCAGAGGCTGAATGCCAACTGTCAACACTTCCTGCTATCTCCTTCTGGCTCATGACCC